CTATTGGGCCGACCTCAGTTATTTGATAAGAAGGTGCAGAACTGTGGCTATAACAGTACACATACCAAGCACAGTCCAAAATTTAAACAATGGCATCATCATAAGATGAAACCACAGCCCTCCAATGGTAGCTGCAAAACGTGAGAAAACAAGGATGATACAAAAAACTGGAAATTATATCTTAGGCTGTATTTAACTTCTGAATATCACATAACAAGATCAAAATTTATAATGAAATTTAACTGAAACATTCCATAGGTCGCTGAGGGAACGAAAAGAGGATTTAAAGAGAAATAAAAGAAAGCTATCAAACAACTAGCGCGAGATGAAATTCTTAAGTCCAACTTCGATTGCTAAGGAAACCATCACAAATAAGTGGAATATGAATCCTTTGCTCGCGACCATAACAGATGAAAAACAAAAAGGTAAAAAAATAGAACAAAGAATTCAGATTCTATCATGTTTCAATTTTCAGACTAGCTCATATATTCAATAAACAAAGCAATATCAAAAGAAAAATTAAGAGACATTACGGAAGAGATAAAGAAACGAAATTGAACGGCAAAGACGGAGTTTGAGGACCTGTTCTTGGAGGGTTCGAGCAAGGGCTAGGTCAGCATCGACCTGACTGAGATTAGTAAAGGGAGTTCTTGAAGACTGCGGAACAGGAGGTGAGGGAGGGTCCACCAATTGCGAGGACTCACTAGTTACTTCTTGTTCTTGTTCTTCGCATTGATTCAAATTGGGGTTTTGTTCTTGTTCGCTGATGCTGTTATTGTTGTTGGGTTTGAGTCCACCGCCAGAGCCCAATTTGGCGTTATGATTTTCCATGGATATAAAGAGAGGTTGGAAAGCCAATAAATCGGAAGAAACTGGAAAGAGATCGAAATTGAGGAAGGGTGGGAGAGACCAAATCACATATTATTTCAAGAATCTCAGATAGTCGGACACTAATAAGGGGCCGTTGGGTTCGGGGTGGAGAAATTATTTGGAGGACCGATGTCAGGTGTTGGAGTGAGATCGGAAGGAACGCGTTAAGCCCCGTCTAAAAACCATTTTGTTTTAAACAAATATATATATAACCTAAAATCATATTTAACAGTTTTTCCTTTGTCGTTTTACAACAAAAAATATTTTTTCTCAACTTTATTGTTTTTTGGTCTCTTGGCCTATTTTTGGGCGAATTGGATCGGAATTAGGGGTTCCAATTTCAATCCAAAAACAATTTTTAATAAATAAAAAATTTCAATTTCATTCCAAAAAATTTTGAAATTTCAACATCCATTTTAATTCATAAAACTTGAAAATGTTAGATTATTTCGGAATTTTGTTCGAAAATTTCATAAAGTTGTTCAAAACTTTATATTGGCCCAACCTTTTAAAGGTTGAAATCCGCTCAAAATTGAAAATTTGTGTCAGAAGTTCAAAAAACTATTATATATAATAGTACTTAGATGTTGGTGAAATAATGTATATTTGGCCATTACATCATATCTAGGGCTCGGCTGACTTTTTGGTAGCCCTAGCCCTAAACCCTATATTGTTGAATTTGTTCCATCCTTTTGGGTGAGTTTTTCATAATGAAATTTCATGCTTCAATTAAAAAATAAAATAAAATAAAAAGTTACTAAAAAAGGGAATTGTTAATTTTTTTATTTAAATTTATGATTTTTAATTAAATTCTGAGTTATTTCCTCTCATCCAGACAATAAGAGTGTCTAAGATTTTTTTTTATTTTTACGAGGGGCCTAAGATCTCATCCCACCTTCTTTATAGGAAGAAACTTTTTCCACAATTGACCTATCTCCTTTCCCACGCACCACTCTCTCTTCCCCAGACATTCTCAACGTCATTTGCCTGCAAAACAATCGCCAAATGTTTTGTTACCCAAATTACCCTGAATGATATTGATAATTCCATCCATATCCATGTAATGCCAACTTAACCCATTTCTGTTACCCAAATTGAGACGCGCATCAAACTGGGAACCACGACTCCAAGGATCGTAGAGGTTCTCTCGCAGCCAACAAAATCTCACCATTTCTCCTCATCTCCCAAACCCATCATCTCCAGTCCCTACTCTACATCAGTACTAAAAATATTATTTTCTTTTCTTACTCCACGACTTGGTTTTGGACTTGGACTTGGCCATCAGTCATCACCCCCGGTGTAGTGTATGCAGAAGATATACCTAGCTAGGTCCAAGCGTCCTGGTCGAGTGGAAGTTCTCTGGCCTTCTATAGTGAGTTGTTGAATTATTACACGGTGGCGGCTCTTGGTGCCATGCCTGCTATGAACAAGGTTGTTTTTTCTGCAATTGAATCCCCCAATATTTGATATATCCTTAGTAGTTGAATGAATAATATGTCAAATTTGTTTTCTTGGCTTTTCTTTTTTATTCTGAAATGTGTCTCTGATTTTGTTTCAAATGCTTATTTACGTAATTGGGTCACTATATCACTCATCTGTATACAATGTATATTTGATGCAGTTGCAGATTTCTATAAGTTAACTGTCGGTTCGTTGTAGGATGCCCATCGAGAAAAAATTATTGATGACATACTACCTTTTTATTTTAGCTTTAATATAATTTAAATGAAAGGACTTAAGAAACATGTTTGGAGAAACTGATAATGTGGCATTGTTTTGAGAGATTCGCTTTCTTCTCACAAGTTTGTTTAACGTTCTATGCGATGTTGCGTATAATAAGCTTCTATCCTTCCTCTTACAATGTTTTGGTCTATGGCTTCTGGCTGCGAATTACTTATCTTTCCCATTTTAAATTATTGGGTAACAACACATTTATTCTGGCTGCTTCTTGTTGATTTATTTATTTAGTGTTGGGGTAAGGCTTCCAGTGCTCACCAGATTTTCCGATTTTCTTCGTTTAATTTTATTCTTCTCTCTCTGTTTTTCATTTTCCCTGGATGCCTTTGCTTGCTCATGATGTTTTCATTGAGTTTTTTTTTTTCCTTCCAAGGAATGGTTGCTATATTGTTCTTATTTCCTTATGTTTGCTTTCTATGCTTATGAAATTTTATGACTTGTGTTCTTGCTTATCAGAATTCTGAGCGAAGTCACATTGGGAACGTATTCAACAAGTTGCTGAAGCAGATTGGAAATCCTGTAGATTTTGAACTTCCAGATTGGTTTAATAAATGGAAACCGATGCCCTACACTTTTATAAAGCGCAGTATCCTCTTAAGTCTTAAACTCACTAATTTTAAATTTTTATTGAACAAACCTTTTCATGTTGGAAATTATCATTTTAATTTTATATACTTTAGTGCATGTTACATACCTATCTGGTTTTCTCTTCTTTTCTTTCCCCATGAAACACTCCTCATAGGTTGGACTTGCCAGCTGAATATTTTCTCGGATATGTTCCATCTGTCTGTTTATTCAATGGTTTTATATGCGTTGGAAGTGTTTTTCAATTCTCTCTCCACTCTTAGTTTCGTTGACAAATTTAAGATATATATCTCACGAAGAAGATTAAAAGACGACTTGAGGATGATGGCATATTCTGTTCCTGCAGCCCATCACAAGGGTCTTCTAGTGTTTGTGGTAGAGATTGCCATTGTGGGTAAGGACGATCATTGTCAATGGTGTTTGTGTTACCTCATGTGTAATAAAGGAGCAATGTAAAGGTTGCATTTGATCATCTTGTACTGTACTTGTACATCATTTTGATCTTTTGGACATGGATATTTAACCATAGTCTGGTATTTCCTAAGATCCTAACTTTTTACTTTGAACTCTTATCTTGATAAAGTTTGGGTACAGGCGGTAAGTAAGTTATGCAAGGGATACCTCTTTGACAGGATTCCAGTCCAGTGAGTGATGCTGTTTTATGAACATTGTTCATTGAGGGAGCATAGCTATTCGGCAGTGTTCCACTCAATTGAGGGATGCCTTTTCATAGAGAAGTGCAGGCGTTTATACTACAGAAGAATATGCTTGCTGTGGGTTTTTGATTGTTTTTTATTTTTCTTTTGGAACTAATTAAGGGGATGAAACCTCTGGTTGTGATGTTCGTTGACTTGCAACCTTAGGCATTATGATGTTATTGATGCAGGCAGATGTAGATATAGGGAAAAGGGCCATTAATTTTCTATGTGATAGTGTATATTCAGGTTTTATTTTTTGTCTAAAAATAAATAAGTTGAATGTGTTATATCTGCAGGATGCTTCTGTCTAGCTGTTCCTCAGTCTGTAAATGTGGAAGTACCTGTCTGAACAAACCATTCCAGCACCGACCTGTGAAGAAGATGAAACTGGTGCAGGTAATGTGGCTTATGTTGGAATATAAATTGCAGTGGTTAAGATTTTGTATATATATATATATATATATATTTTTTTTTTTTTCTGAAAAGATAATAGAAATAGAGACAAATTTAATAGGTTTGGGGGAGACTTGTAACTTCTTAAGAAGGGCAGGAGGAACTGCAGATATGAAATGCTCAAGTTTAAACATACAAATTAGCATAAGTTGAAGTTCTGTCTGACGTATTAGCTTTTGTTAGTGTCTATTTGGACGCTATTCAGGTTTTTATGAACCGCATATCATATGAATTTATTTACTTTGCAGACTTTTTGATTCATGTTTTTACACGTATAAGGCCATCCCCAATGGGGGCTCTAAAATGGGCTGCACCACCTTTGGGCTCTAATATATAACAACTGATGTAGGATAAAGGGTGAATTGAGTATTTAGGTAGTTTAGCGGAAGCGAAAACAATGGAAAACAGAAAATAGAACAAAAGGGATAGGTCTGGAATCACTCCAGGGGTTTGGCTTCACACCAAGTAGTCTCCAATCTCTGGAAAATAAGCTTTTCTTTATATCTCAACAACTCCATTTTAAAGAACTACATGGGGGGTATTTATAGCAAACTAAAACCTAGAGACAATAGGATAAAAATCCCTTACTAAAACAGAAATCCTAATCCACCAAGGATCTAAGTAAAAATAAACTAGGAAACTCAAATCAAATCCAACTAAAAATCTGGAAACTAAAATCCTAGTGAAATCTGGAAAACTTGAGAATCTAGGAAACTAATAAATCAGGAAACTAACTAATGATGTCCGCATCAATTCCCCCTGGCTGAAAAGATCTCGACTCCGGCGAGATAAAGCTGTAATAACCTTCCAAAACGTCGGGATCAATGTGCGGCAGGTTCTCCTTTGTAATCCGAGTACTATGAGAATTTGATCTAACTTCCACTTGACTAGGAACTTCTGCATCTTCCTTACATTCTTTAAACGTAATGATATGTAGAGCTTTGGTTTTACCTACTTTTTCTTGCTCCTCTTTGTTTGGTATAGATTGATTCAGGAGCTTGGGTTGAAGTGGCTTCATCGTGATCTTCTTTCCTTTATGGATGAACGAACATATATTTTCTTGACCCAAGATGGTAACATTGTAATCGTAGATCCATGGTCTTCCCAAGAGAATATGACTCACATCCATATCCACCACATCACACCAAACATGATCTTTGTAAGATGAAAACTGTATAGGAACGTGACATCGTTGGGTAACAGGGATAGAAGATGTATTGTCAATCCATGCTACTCTGTATGGCACAAGATGCTTCTCGGGTGACAAACCAAGACGCGAAACAGTCAGCGTTGATACAACATTGATACAACTCCCATTATCTATGACCACCTTACAATCTTTATCTCCAGACTTGATGTAAGTCTGGAAAATGGAAGTCCTACGCCAATCCTCAGTTTCCTTCCTAGGTTGAGCCAAAGTACACCTTATTACTGCTAATGTTGGATGAGGGACTTCAAAGTCGATTCCACAATCTTCATCAGGTTGTTGGGGTTCATAAATATCTTCCTCGAATTCGCCTTGATTGTCAGCTTGTTCGTTGATGTGTGCACACAGATTTCTTGTTGCCTCCTTCGTTGGGCATTGGACAGCAAAGTGTCCAAAACCTTGGCATCTGTAACATCTTTGCATTCCACCACCACGTGTATCAACCAGCACTCCTTTTCCTTTGGCAGTTTTTACTAAATTAGTCATAGATGTTGGAGAACTTGGAGTCACAGATGTGCCAACATGACAATCAGATCTTTGAGAATCAGTTTGCTTGACTACATTGGACAACTTTAAATACTTCTCTAATTCTTGTACCATCTGAAAAACCCTCTCTAAAGTATTCATAGTATGCGGAATTAATTCTTTTTGAAGCTCCGGACGAAGTGATCTAAACCGAGAAATAGTCATCCTTCGATCTTCCCTTATGTCACATCGCAACATGAATTCCTCAAATTTTGCAATATATTCAGCAACTGGCATGTTATCTTGACGAAGAGTTTGCCACTCGTCCAACAAACTCTGTTGATAGGATAATGGTAGATATTTCTGCTTCAACCTTTCTTTCATCTCACCCCAATGGATGATTGGTTCTTCACCAGCTCTCTCTAGTTGTGTTTCAACATTGGTCCAAAACAATCCAGCTTGACCCACCAATTTTATCTTAGCAAATCTCACCCTTCGAGCTTCAGACATGTCATGCCACTCAAAATAGCGATCCATGGTAGCTAACCAATCGAGGAGTGCTTTAGGATTTAGCTCACCATCAAAATTTGGAGCGTCAACTTTCACTGATCTCATCACCCTTTCATCAGGGTCTTGCTCATAGCCACGATGAAAATTGTGTCTCTCTGCGTCTCGATCATTCCTTCTATCATGACGTTGTCGCTCATGATTCCTCTCTTCTCCATTCACACTTGCTTCATCATGTTGGTTAGCTGTTTCTAAGTCTGCAAGGCGACGTTCCACGAGTCTAGATCTAGCGTCCGAATCTGCTACTTGCTTTGATAGGTTTTCCATCATCTGAACAAGACGTACAAAGTCCGTCGCTGGCTCGTCTGTCTTTCCAGGCTTAGTCGGAGCCATCACTTGACACACAGTGTGAAGAACAAGAAATACTTGAAAATTCTGAACCCAGAAAAACGAAAACCAGGTTCTGATGCCAAATTTGATGTAGGATAAAGGGTGAATTGAGTATTTAGGTAGTTTAGCGGAAGCGAAAACAATGGAAAACAGAAAATAGAACAAAAGGGATAGGTCTGGAATCACTCCAGGGGTTTGGCTTCACACCAAGAAGTCTCCAATCTCTGGAAAATAAGCTTTTCTTTATATCTCAACAACTCCGTTTTAAAGAACTACATGGGGGGGTATTTATAGCAAACTAAAACCTAGAGACAATAGGATAAAAATCCCTTGCTAAAACAGAAATCATAATCCACCAAGGAACTAAGTAAAAATAAACTAGGAAACTTAAATCAAATCCAACTAAAAATCTGGAAACTAAAATCCTAGTGAAATCTGGAAAACTTGAGAATCTAGGAAACTAATAAATCAGGAAACTAACTAATGATGTCCGCATCAACAACTCTTTGCAAAAAACCATCCCCAATGGTATAAATTTGAGGCTCTAAATGGTAGAGCCTAACCGGAGCTGAAGCCAAATCTGTGTACCCGGTTGCAGCCCTTGAAACTCGGTGGGGACCACATTTTGGAAAAAGCTGTCAGCCCAACAATTTTTTGGCTCACTTGCCTTGCGACTCAACAGAGTCATACTCGCCCATTTTGATAGCTGCTGACTACTCTTTCTATTTTTTTAATCAATTGGCCAATTGCAACAAGCTTGTCTCATTGTTTTTGTTTTTTTTTGGTAAAGTTGACTCAAGCTACAACCCTCAAGTTCTAAATGGCTAGGTTTATTTTTTTTAACCATGTTTTCAAATCTTGTCCAATTTTTTATTTTTTTGAGTTGAAATGTTCACAAAAAATACACTAACATAGATAAGTTAACAAAAAACAAAAATATCACCTAAATTAAATTACATCATAAAAAAAATATCAAACCCCTAATATAGAGTCCCGGATATAGAGCCTCTCACTGTGGGAGAGATGCCTTTAGAGCCCCAACCATTGGGGATGGCCTAATAGCATAAGTTGAAGGCTGAAAGGTTCTTTGAAGAGATAGCTGACTCTCTATTCAGACATTTGTCTTCCATGTTGGTGGACTTTTATTAAACTTGCATTATCTGCAATTTAGTCGGCGTCTGTTTTGCTACATTTCAGCAATATAACTATTCAACTCATCGTTTTATGTAATTGATTGCCTCCCCATAAAAATATCAAGGGTCTCAATTTTGGAACGGAGAAGATAGATTCCAGGGCAACATATTTTTCACATAAGGGAGGCTGCTTGCATTGCATGTTTGGAAATCATTTATTGTTATTATTTTTTCTTTGGTCTTCTAATGCCTTGTACATTGATTAAATTGTTTCCAGGAACTGTATTTATTTATTAGAATTATAGACATTGTTAAGCGACTTAACGGAATAGGGTATTCTTGTAGACTGAGAAATGTGGTTCTGGAATTGTGGCGGATGAAGATATTAAGCAAGGAGAATTTGTGATCGAATATGTGGGAGAAGGTAACTTCCTTAGTCCTTTTTTGCTCTACATGTCAGTACATGCAGCTTGTTTTATATTTGAAAGTTATCGTCTTACCAAAAAAATCATTTGAAACCTATTAATCAATGCTGTTTCTTTGTACAGTTATAGATGACAAAACATGCGAGGAAAGGCTATGGAATATGAAACACCGTGGAGAAACAAACTTTTACTTATGTGAAATCAATCGAGATATGGTTATTGATGCCACATACAAAGGAAACAAGTCGAGATATATAAACCATAGTTGTTGTCCTAATACTGAGATGCAAAAATGGTCTTCTACTTGACCTTGTTACTGATTTTTAGGTCATTTTGTAGTTAATACTATATCTTACATGTATTCCTTGTTCTTTTCTTTGAAGGATAATCGATGGCGAAACAAGAATTGGTATATTCGCAACTCGTGACGTAAAAAAGGGAGAACACCTGACCTATGATTATCAGTATGAACACATGCATAACCCTTTATTTTAATGCTTTACTAATTGATGCATGTTTTTCTAGAATCATCATGGACTTCCCTTGCACTAAAACTATTGCTAGATGTGAAACTTTGTATTCCTCTAGTCCAGTCTAATAAATTTAGCAGGTTTGTTCAATTTGGTGCAGATCAAGATTGCCATTGCGGTGCACGTGGTTGTCGGCGAAAACTTGGTGTCAGACCTACCAAGCCAAAGATGTCATCAGTTGCTGCGTTGAAACTAGTAGCATGTCAGGTGGCTGTGTCCTCTCCCAAATTGAAAGCAATTCTTTCTGCTAAAGACGTATGTACAAGTGTCTCTGTTTACTTCTAACCGAAATTTATATGTTTTGAAAATCACCACCAACCTGCCAAAGCCCTACAAAGTTTTGCTGCTAATTTAAACGATCATCTAAAAGTTTGATGTCATAGACCATTTTGGTGTAATCACCATTCAATTAGTTCTAGATGGTCCTTATTGAAACAGGTTGGACAACTTTTGATTTTTATCCTTCCCTCTTGCAAATTAAGTGGCATATTGTAGAAATGAAAACTTTTGCACTGCTAGCATTTTAATTCTCATTAGAGCGGTTACAGCCAAGCCCCAAATTTGTCTTCCAGCGGGCTGAAGCTGCCAGGGCAGCTGCTGGGGCCCACGAAACCAGGCCAGCCCTCAGGCAAAACGAGCCTGTGCTCTAGCCTGGGTTTGCTGACGTCAGCAACAACAAAAATCTACAAAAAAAAATACAAAAAATTTCAGAATTTTTTAAAAATAAATACTTAGTCATATTCTTCACTTCCCACACCAAAACTGTATACAAATTCCTCTCCTTATATCTCATGTGAATAGTTGTTGCCATGGCAATGGGTGGAAACACCACAACCTTGCCTTGCCCTTGCCTTTTGCCATGGCAAACGGGTGGAAGTGCTCATAGTGTTTATTTTCCCTCCCAGCACACTAACTCTCCTCATTTCACCTACCCATACTGGATATAAGTTGGTTATGACTAATATACTGGAGGATAGATGTCTGAAATCAGCTCCAAGAGTTGCCGCTGAAATGTTTCCATGTTGGCTATGATTTATTGCATTTGTTGACTTTGTAAAGTTTTTAGCTGTACAAATGACTGCCTTTTTTTCTTTTGTAATAATTATATTTGAAGTTCTGCAAACTTGGACTAATTGTGGGACTCTTTTCTGGAAAAGGTTTATCAGAACGGGGGTCTACATATAGGTGAGCTTTTTTCTATTATGTATTTATTGTTTTTTACTAGTGTTTCAAAATTAATGATATACTATTTGAAACTCTTGTTTCACATCCTCTTGTCTGTTAGGAAATTCACAACCTTTCCATAACCAAAGAGGTACACGTTCTTGTAATTGCATTGGTGAAGTGATTCGAATAAGTCGCCCCACGAATCAGAGGTAATTTCAGAATATCTATGAATCTTTCACTTTAGAGTAGTGCTTCATATTCCTCAATGTGTTATGCACTGGTGTTAGTTGTTTTATTTTATGTGCAATACAAAGAAAAAATATTGTGAGGTCCTCCTGCTTCTAATCTGGGAAATTCTGAAAACTAACCCCCATATGATACTAAAATCATGGGTTTGATTTAGTGGCCTTCTGATGTTGCTAAGGTTGCTGATCTTCACTACCTCAAGAAAGTTTAAAGATTTTACGAAAACCAAACAAGAGGTGGAAATTGGAGAAAACATCTTTGTTTTCCCACCTATGTTATGGGAACAATAGGAAAACATTAGGGATCATAAGAGATCTTAAAATTTATTTTGGAGCAATAATAGATGTGAAATGGGCAGCGTCAAATGTCAATGCCTTCATGGCTCTATGTGTATATTTGTGATGTTTACAGTCAAAAGATTTTTGCAAGTTTATCAGTTGGAACAATAGCCTTAGGTTGATGTCTTCTCTGTTGAAGTTATTTATAATTGATTTGTACTGCTTGTTTTTTTTCATTTTCTATACATATCTGTTGATGCTCCAAATTCTGAGGTGACATGTTATTTAATTAAATCTGATGATGCTGAATATTATTCTTTATTTTCCAATGTTTCAGATCCTTTGGGATTATCAAGCGGTTTGATAGATATTCCAAAAAACACTCGGTAAGAGATGAATTACTTTTTAGAGAGAACAATAAAATGTTATTATTGTAATAAATTAAGATATTGAAAATGGACCTTTTTTTTTTGTTGCAGATCATGTTTGAAGATGGTGGCATCGAATTCCTTGACATGTCAAAAGAAGAATGGGAACTTGTAACACTGTGATATGATTGTGAGGCAAGTGCAAATTATTCCTTTATTAATGCGTCTTATATCCTCATCCCCAGTCCCTTGTTCCCAAATTTTATCCATACGATGTCTCACACTCGTGTTTGCTAACTCTTTGCACTTTCTAAGCAAAGTTGTCATGAGAATTAAACAAAACCTATGATATGAGCGGGCTGTTCTTGTTTTGTTTGGTCAGACATGACCACTGGGTTCTACCAGTAGCAAGGCTAGATCTACTACTTAATTCGGTATAAGCATACATACTGATACGTACATACTTATGTATGGCCTGTTTGACTATACTATAGTTTTTAAGGGTTTTTTTCTTTTCTTTTTTGGGTACTGGGCAGGGGAGAGGTTTTGGGGGTTCTGTGGTGAGATTGGGAGGACAAAATTTCAAAGAAATGCATTGCATCTTTGTTTTGCATGGATGTGTTGCCGTACCTCCACTTCCATTTTAATGGAGAATTTGCGACATGCACTTATTTCAGACATAGTTTTGTAGGTTTTATATGAACTTCAAAGGAGTTGCTGGAGTATCAGGCCTATGTGTGGTTCTGCCCATGACTTTATCGACATTTGTGTTCATGTATCCACTTGAGCCTTGTGTAAAAAAATAGTCTTGTATATTCATTTGCTGGTACTACTAGTTTTTCATGTGCAATGTTTGATGATATATTTTGCTTTGGTGCTTATTTTCATCATGAAGGATTCTGCTGAAGCAAGAATGACGTGTGGTGGTCCGCAATCGTAACATGTATGACAGTATGTCCATATTCCTTTCTGAGGCATGGCTAATAATTGCTTTAAACTGAATGCACAACTTGGTCACCCTGATATTTATCTTTGTTCTGTCACAGGTACCCAATAAC